CCTGCTGAATGTTGAGAATGAACACTAGGAGAAGCTGCTGCTTTGTTAGTGACTGTTACTGACATTATTCCATAAAAGATACTCTTAGGAAATGACAACCTGAAATCCTTATAGAAAGAAAAAAAGTTAAAAGAATTTTAAGTATTTCAATAAAATATCTTTCAGTTTGAGAACTAATAATTCTAGTACCTTGAGAAGAGTTATTGTACCAAAAAGCCTATACTGCAATTTTTCATTATTAAAACCCAAGATACTTGGTAAGAAAGTTTAAACCCAGCTTCAATAAAACACCTATGGTTCTACTTCTGACTCACATTATGGCACTTAATAACTTTCTCTAACTTTTGTCCTTCTCAAAAGCCTAAGAGAAGAAGGTAATGTACCACTTATCCAAGTTGGAGTGAGGTTCACATACCTGCTTAGTTTTGGGGGGTTTATTCCATTAGAATCAGAATAGGCCTGTGGAAGTAAAGCTACTTTTAGGATTATGTACTTAACCCTGACAGCAGTAGGCATTCTAGTAATTCTATACAACCCAAAAAGAAATAATCAGTTTTCTTAATCTGAGAGTGAGAAAGCAGATCTAATTACAATAGCATACCAAATAGTGAAGGAATTTTAAGCAGAAACGTTTTAATAATCTTAACTCAGATTATTTGTAAGAGTTACTAAAGTCATAGTTCTAGCCCTGTGGCATTCTAGCCTTGTGCACAAAACTTGCCTCTCCCTTGGGCCCAAAATGTAATTTAACTCCTGCAAAATGAGTTTGTGAACAAGTTTATCTTCTTTGCATTGCTCCTGCCAAGATTTTGCTTTGATAGTATTCAGATACTTGCTTTATTATTAGCTGTTATTCTTCCCAGTAATGCTGAATTTAAGGCCTAATCCGGAAGTGTAAATTACATTATCACACTCGTTCTACCAAACAGACATGTAAATACAGTGATACATCTTACCTAGCTGTCAGAATCCTGGATACTGTGCAACATAAAAGGAACAAATTATGTCCTATGCATATGTAATTTTTATACTTTTTCCCTAGTGGCTTTGTAGCTTTATCAGTGAGACGTCTTACCTAGCTGTATGAATTCCAGTGCTGCTAGTGAAGAGGCAGGACCAACTACTTGGCAGTCCCAACATAGATCGGCTTAAGGTGCTACAGAATTTCAAGGCAATACTTGTTAATATTTTCATTGTGAAGAATGTAGTTTTCCAGCACCTACGAGCTACTACAGTTCACTGTCAATTACTCATACAAAAGTTAAGATTTTAATTTCCTACTTCTCTGCACCTCTACAAACTAAGGAACATTTAAACATGATTAGATTAAAAATCACAATTCCAGAAAGGAGGTGAGAATATTTTGCAGCCCAGACTAGATAAGATTGTTTTTGGACAAGATGAGATCTTTTTGTTAGCATGGATCTAACAGGCATCATTGAGTCAGACTTGTTTTTTTTGGCTAAGATTTTATTTGTTCCTTCATGTAAAAAAGTGTGATAGGTGAGAACAAGATATAAAGTTACAGGAAGTTGACATAATGGATCAAGCAATATTTTAATATTTTTTAGTGTTTCTTTTTCCGCTTTTTATTAAAAATTCAGTTACCTTCTAGGTAGCAAATCTATTGATTGTTCAAAGCAGATGGGATTGTTTTTTGGAACTCCACCAATTAGGCTGGTTACATAATCTCTTTATGATTTTATTTCTTACTTGGATTTGAGTACAATATAGCTAATAACCTGCCATGTATTCTCACTCTGAGATGGATGTGAAGTAATCACACAGAGAGCAACAATTTGGTTATTCTGTAGAATTTCAAGTATATAACCTTTCAGTTCTGCAGTGTATGTTACTTATACCTTTATAGGACTTAGCTGGCACGTCCCAAATTCATACAGCCTTTGCTGTTTTTCAGGTGGAAGACACAACAGTTTTACAAGCATGCAGGGATACCCTCAATTGTTCTGGCAGCAGAAACAAGACCCAGAAATGAAGGTAAGATTTTGCTTGATATCCTAAAGCAGGGCAAGGCATACAGTGGTAGAAGTAAAATTGTCCATGCTTTGTCGTGGTTTTTTTTAAACAAATACTCTCGGTAAAAGTACATTATCAGACTACTAAAATATCTAGAATAAGATTGACATGTCACCCTGTTTTGATTATACTGAACAATTTAAGAAAAAAATGGTAGCAGCTATTTTACATTTTAAACCACATTAAATAGATTGCTGCTTTTAGCACACATGCTTCTTGCTTCAGCCTTTGCTTTGGGAAAATGTAATTTATGCAGTATTTCACTCCTTGTTTTTGTTTGGAATAGTTCACTCCCTGCCCTTTGGCACTTAAAGAACTAGAGTGGTTTTAGTTTGGGCCAGGAAAAGATAAAATGCAGGAAACAGAGCCCATGAAGATCCTGAGTTTATTTGTTCCAGCTTGTTATTTAGAAGGGAACACAAATGAATCATTACAGGTCTCAGTGAAAAGGACTCTAAAGATTAGATTTTCTTAAGGTATTTGAGTTCATCAGTATATTTTTCACTAAAAAATAAACCCTGAATGACTATATAAAACATGTTACAACAGACAACATTCACACTGACTGCAGCCTGCGCACTTTCTTGGGTGTTGGCTTTGGCGTTTTTGGA